AAAACTATATCTTCTAACTATTAAAAAAAGAGAGAATCTAGTTCAACCTGTTCTCTGAACCCCAGTGGTCAGTTGTGTCACATGTACACACACACACACACACACACACACACACACACATACTTTAGAGAACTATAATGGAATAATAATGATTTCCCCCATCAGTTTTCTTTGAAGACTACCCAGAATTTTCTTCTAACTATGTTATAATTGATAATCAACATATCAAAAAAATATGTTCCTGGTCAACTATGAAGTTGTTTTAGAGATTACCAAGGTAGAGGGCATAAAAACAATGATCCACAAACAAGTTATTACTGAAAGAATCACTCACTACTGTCTACAAGCAAAAGTCTCTTCAGCTATTCCTATGTAACACCCTATGTTCAAAGCGTATTACTTTGAACCTTTGAGAAGTCTTACATATTTTATTAATTGATATTTAGGACAAGTGAAATTTCTCATAAGGCTGACGGCTCAAACTCAATCTTGGGAATCCACAGGCTGGAACAGAGAGCTGATTCCAGCTTTCTATGACTTCTACATGCATTCCATGATGGGCACAGAGATCATAAGCATGCATGCATGTGTACACACATAGTAAATAAACAAACACAAAAAAATATGTTTAAGTAATTTAGTGAGTTCTATTTCAAGTTCTGAGAGAACTCACATTCAGACAAATGTTTGGATTTGACTTTTTATTTTCTTAGGTTATCCAAGTCATTGTGGCAAATTTAATAAAAACCTGGTAAAAATGGATAGATATTAAAGTTCATAAACAGACTATATCCTTGTGTAATGACATCTTAATTTGCAATAAAAAGATGACATTACTATTATTCTTTAAAAGAGGCATTTTTAGCTTTTGTTGCAAAATAAAAATGCTATAGTTTTGTAGAGCTGACAGATAAAGAAAAAGGAACATCTTCAGTGCTGTGCTGTATTTTAATGTCTTTGTATTAAAGTTCTAGGAATTTATCCAAACTATGCAAATATGTACTTAAGATGTTTATACTTTATGGTGCACAAATTCCACCTCAAGAAACCTCTATTACAAATATTTTTTAGTTGTGCACTGGGTACTTAAGTATGTATGGGAAGTGCACTGATATTTCTAATTTGCTTCCATATGAATGCATTAAAATAGAATTTAATAATAGAGAAAGGGTTAGATGAGTTCAAGTATGATAAAAACTATTATTCAGTTTAACACAATATGATTGGACATACAATTCTCTACCAAGACCCATCAGAATTATGTAATTATAATTTTGAGGCAGAGTCACTATTTTATTCACTGATGGAAGAATAGAAAGTTAATATCTGCCTCTATCTCCATCCATCACCAGATGAAGGTTCTATGGTGATATGCAAGATATTTGTCAATATTGCTATAGGATAGGGTCATTTCAGGTTCCCTATCCTCAGCTTCCCAAGGGACTAACTGGGGACATCGCCTTGGACTCCTGGGAGCCACTCTAGGTTCAAGTCTCTTGCCAACCCTAAGGTGGCTCCCTTAACTAATATATGTGCCTCGCTGCTCCCCTATCCAACCTTCCTATAAGATTGTCTAATTCATCAATAGATATAGTTTCATAGAAAACTACAAAAATGAAATTTTATATTTTATAACCTGTGGTTGATTTATAGGGTTACTTTATTTCTTCTTATTGTGCAAATATATAAAAACATTTCTTTTATTGATCATAGTGTCTAGAAACTATATTTTCTTTGTGATAGAGACACATGGATCAATATGATCTTATACAAAATTTGTGTAGAAGTGGGTGAGTGATCGTGTGAATTGTAAGTCTAGTCTTTATTGTATATACTTTTCCAATTCATTTAGAGGCTTAAGATTTTTAACATCTATGAAATGACACACAAATATATTTTTTCTACTTTTGTAAATCTGAAATCTTTCAAAATAACTAACCCATGCTTCGTTGCACCATGGCATTCTTTGGCTTTATCAGCCACAGATGAATCGGAATTAACTACTCTAAGTCAACCCGATGGTTTCAAGTCCTCCAAAGCCACCTATCTTTCTCATGATACACAGTATGCTAAATTTACTGTCTCTCCAACTTCAAATCTTGCATCAATACTCATCTCCAACAAACACATTTATGACATATATTTATTGTAACCTTATTAAACCTTGCAGCATCTAAAGTGGAAAAAATAGTTTCAGGGACTGGGATGGATCAGCAGTTAAGAGTAATTATTGCTTTTGCA